CCAGGGGGGGGAGCCCTGTTTTCACGCCCGATAATCGGCCGCAGGCTCTGGGGCGGAACCTCGTAGACCTGGATCTTCCCCCGTCGGTGGTGGAGACCATTCAGGGGGCGAGGGCGCCGTCCACTGTGAGGACCTACGCCACGAGGTGGAGGCTCTTCAGCGACTGGTGCGGTTCTCGCTCCTGGGATCCCAGGCGTTGCCCGCTGGAGGGGGTCCTGGGATTCCTACAGGAGCTTTTTGACAAAGGGAGGGCTGTCGCCACCTTGGCGGTGTTCGCGGCAGCCATTACCTCGGGTCACGACGGATTCGGGGGGTTCACAGCCCGCTCTCATCCGTTGGTTAAACGTTTTCTGCGGGGCGCGCGCAGGAGGAGGCCCCCGCTTCAGAGAACGCCCCCGGTTTGTGACCTCAGGGTGGTCCTTAGGGGTCTGTCGAGTCCCGAGTGTGTCGCTTTTAAGACGGCCCTCTTGCTGGCGTTGGCGTCTGCTAAGAGGGCGGGCGACTTGTGTGCGCTCTCCGTCCATGCGTCTTGCCTGTCCTTTGGAGAGGGCGACGGCATGGTGGAGTTGTGGCCCAATCCGGCTTTTCTCCCCAAGGTCATCACGTCGGCCTTTAGGTCGAGAGTCATCAGGATTAGGGCATTCTATCCGCCGCCGCATGCCTCCCCCGAGGAGGAGCGGCGGCACCTTCTGTGTTCTGTCAGAATGCTTAGGCATTACCTGGCCATGACGTCTTCATTCAGGTTGGGTGATCAGCTGTTTGTGTGTCTGGGCCCCAAGAACAGGGGCGCCCCGCTGTCGGCTCAGCGGCTGGCGCACTGGGTCGCCACAGCTGTGCGGCGGGCGTATCTGGCCCCCCCGGTGGGCTTCAAGTCGCATTCCACGCATGGGGTGGCGGCCTCTACGGCCCTCCTCAGGGGGGCGTCGGTCGAGGACGTCTGCCGTGCGGCTTCTTGGGCGTCGTCCTCTTCTTTCGTCCGGTCTTATCTTTTGGATGTGTCGGACCGGTCGGTGGCCCATTCCGTGCTGAGTGCAGCGGACTGAGTTGAGACCGTTAGGTCCCTCCTCTGAGGGGGCCTTCGGTTGACTTTCCACCCTGGTTCAGGTGCTCTTGGGAGAGGTTGTCCTACAGGTGCGGTATATGTGTGCTTTTGGTCAGTCAGGTAGTCCACGTCAGGAGCTCTTGGGAGAGGCGTCCTGGGACTACGGGTGACCTACGGTCTGTGTTACGTGGGGGTATCCTTGGGAGGAGTGGCCCTGTAACACGCAGTTGCTTCTTCTGCCCTGAGTCCTCTCACTTTGTGAGGGTCTTGCTCGGGCGGAGCTCCAATCACTCTTCGTTGGCCTGCTAAGAGTACATGTTCCTACTGCCTCCGCGTTGTGTCCCACTAGCGAAGTCCTAAGGGACGTAGCACCATGACGTAGAATTAATAGTTACCTAATGTAACTTAAGTTCTACGAATAGGTGCGTAGTCCCTTAGCTACGAGCCCATCAGGCCAGCCCGGCTTGGCAGAGTTCAAGAGGGGGCGCGGCTATGGAGCAGGGGCCTTTATAGAGGAGGGTCGCTAGTGATTGGAGCATTTTTTGTTGATCTCTCTGGCGTCTGTGACCTGGGGGTCACGTGAAGTCCTAAGGGACGTAGCACCTATTCGTTGAGCTTAAGTTACATTAGGTAACTATTAAATCTCAGACGTCCTCCGCGATTATCACAAAATAGCAGGGGTCCGCATGTAAAAGTAATTCCGTCCGAATAGGGCTTTCGACTTCAAAGGGAGCTGATTCAAAGAATGCCAGAGTTTGTGGTGATCACTTTGTTAAACGTTAGTTAATCACATTGGCCTTAATTTATATTCAAATCAGTGTTATGAACACTGATTTTACGATTCAGGATTTGCCTTTAAGGGCCTTAACTCTGACTTTCTTAACCCACCCAAAGACGAAAACGTTGTAGCATCCATGCTTTTCCAAGCCTTCATTTGTTTAGCAGTGCAAGAGCTTGTTGTAAAACTCGATAGTTTGATGGAGCTTTCACACCGCCAACGCTCAAACACTGAAGCCCCGCTCACCAGACGCGCATTCTCTAGCTTTCAGACGCAGGGGTTTTCACACCAGAACGTCCTGACAAGTACCGGGAGTAGCCGGCCGGCTCTGATGCTAACCGAGCTATGCTATCAGCTTCTTGTGTACAGATCTTCTCCAATATGCGGCTTTGCCGGGTGTCTTTGCTCACAGACCTTCCACGGGCTTTATATAACAGTAGTATGTGTTCACAGAGGTGCGCCATACGTTTTTTCATATTATTAAACGGAATTTCCGCATCGGCGAACACACTCGAAGCAGTTGCATAAGGTCACGGGAGCATGACATCCCATATTTTCACAAGCACAGAGTCCCCCATTGTCAACCCTGGTTTGAGTTCTGGTGAAGTCTGGTGTGGGTCCTGTTAGTCCGCTGATGTCCCCGTGACCACCTTGCGGCTCTTTGATTGGTTGTCGCACGAACGTCCCAAGGAAAGGATGAGCAGAATCCATCTCCTGTGGGCGTCGATTTTTCGCTCCTGCTCCTCCCTTTTTACTTTCCCGCCAAGTCCGTGCGTGTCTACTGAACAGTTCGTTCGTGCGAACCGAGCGGTCTGTGCGTTGTGACGCTCGAACGCGCGCCACCTTAGACTTTGCATTGAAACCCGACACAACGCATGATCCGGTCTGAAAGCACCATGAGATATCTGGGAAGTGAACTGGGGGGTATTTTTCCAACTCGTGAGTCAAATCATTCTTGGATAACACATTAGGATCTATACTTTACACAATTTGACTTTTTTTATTTATTGATCTTGAGAATTAGAATCTAAAGCACAAAAATACTCGGAAGAAGAGACCGCGGTGAAGTTAGTTTGAAGTTGGATATCCGACAGACATTCAACGGTCATTCCCTCTCGGTACACCTCTCCTTCTCTCTGGGTTCAGAGCGACTCGAAAGCCGCTCCAACATTTTAGTGCACCCCTACTACACACAGTACGGTAAACACGCGGAGACATGTACGCTGGTCTAATATTTACATATAAAAAATAATTAAAAATACTTAAAATGTAAATGATAAAAAAGAGGTGTACCCCCTGCAGCTAATGGAGGACTATGATCCTGACCTGATTTGGAGTCAATAGGTCACATGACCTGGAAGCTATTGAGCTAAAATGCTAATATTTGCCTTTAAAAATTCATTAAAAATACTTAAAAAATACTTAAATGATAAAAGAAGAGGTGTAGTCCCTGCAGCTAGTGGAGGACTATGATCCCGACCTGATTTGGAGTCAATTGATAACATGACCTGGAAGCTATTGAGCTAAAATGCTAATATTTGCCTTTAAAAATTCATTAAAAACACTTAAAAAATACTTAAATGACAAAAAAAGAGGTGTACCCCCTGCAACTAGGGGAGGACTATGATCCTAAACTGATTTGGCGTACATGTCTCCGCGTGTTTACCGTACTGTGTGTAGTAGGGGTGCACTAAAATGTTGGAGCGGCTTTCGAGTCGCTCTGAACCCAGAGAGGAGAGGTGTACCGAGAGGGAATGACCGTTGAATGTCTGTCGGATATCCAACTTCAAACTAACTTCACCGCGATGAAGAAGAGTCGCATTTTCTTTGCATATCAGCAGCCATTTTTGTTGGCCTGACCATTTGATGCGTCACGTGTAGGGTTGCCGACTTGAGAACAAAAAAATAAGGGACACCATTTGGGTGGATCGGGTTGAGCACTTTTTAGTCCTAATTTCAATATACACAGTAATGATTACGTTCACAAGATGGCGCCTCGTACGGTCAACACGGCTCTTTGCTGCTCTCTTTTTCTTTTGTATCTGGCTGTTCCTACAACCGTGAGGAACTTATGAACACCCGACCCACCGTTCCCATGGACCTATTGCCTGTTTTCTTGGCATCTGCGGCTGATTTAGTCCATGTTCTAGCCAAAAAAGTGTGGGCCCGTAAAAGGGGAAAGCGAGGAGGCCTGCTCGTGCGTCTTAGGAGGAGAGGAGCGCACGGCTCTCCCCGGCATTTTTCTCTCCAACGTACGCTCACTGGGCAATAAGATGGACGAACTCAGCCTGCTCATGAGAAGAAACAAGGACTTCGCCACATCCTGTGTCCTCTGCTTCACTGAGACCTGGCTAAATGAGCGGATCCCGGACTGCGCTCTGGAGCTGCAGGGCTTTGGGCTGTTTCGCGCGGATCGCCATTGTGCGCTCTCAGGGAAGAGCAGAGGCGGAGGGCTGTGTTTCTACGTCAATACAAACTGGTGTAACGATGTGACAGTGATCTCCAAGCACTGCTCTCCTGCTCTGGAATATATTTTCATTCATTGTAAACCATATTACTCCCCGCGCGAAATTGTTTCATTCATTCTTGCCTCTGTTTACATACCGCCATGCGCGGACGCGCGCGAGGCTCAGCGCGCACTCGCAGAGCAAGTACTGTGTATGGAACGCTTATACCCGGACTCTCTGATTATTATCCTGGGGATTTTAATAAGGGAAACTTGAGCCAGGAATTACCCAAATACAGACAGTTTATCAAATGCCCGACCAGAGAGGAGAACACTCTGGATCACTGTTACACTGTTACTGTCGCGGACCTTTTCGCGCTGTTCCCAAGCCAGCCCTCGGCTTCTCAGATCACTCCATGATACATCTGGTTCCTGCTTACAGAGACTAAAGCTCTCGAAACCTGCAGTGAGGAGCTCCAAAGTGTGGTCTGATGTGGGCGCTGCTGAGCACGGATGATGCAAGACGTGCTTTGAAGTGGCTCCGCCGGAATGTGATATTTTTGTGATATTGTGCACCTTTTTTATGACAAGTGTGGAGACTTGTTTAGTATTGGTTTCTTATCATCCCCTACGGTCCTTTTTTGGCGCTCAGATGAGACGGAAAACGGGTATGACAACCAGAACAATGCCTGAGCAGGTCTACTCCAGCGGCTAACGACACATTGCTAGCTAACATGAGGGAGATGATGGAGGAAATGCGCGGAGACATCATAAGCAGATTTGAGGCTATTGTTGCAGATGTTGTTAAACGTGAAGTTACAGATGCGTTGGCACCTTCAGAGACTAAGTTGGGGTCATATGCGTCTGCCATTTCCGACTTGGAAGGAGCTGCAAACGACCATGAGCAGAGGCTAACTAGCATACAGGCCTCTGTTAGCCAACTTCAGGGAAAAGTTGAGCTACTGACGAATAAATGTGACAAACTAGAGGGAGGCTCCAGACTCAATAATATCCGAATTGTTGGTGTTGTTGAAGGCACAGAGGGCCCTCGCCCAACAGAATTTGTGGCCGATTTTCTTCACAATCTACTTCGCCTCGATGCTAAACCTATCCTCGATCGGGCGCATCGGACTCTGCGGCCCAGACCCGGAGACGGAGCCCCGTCGCGGCCCTTCGTAGTTCGTGTCGACCAGTTCCAGACAAGGAATGAAATTCTCTGCAAAGCCCGTGAGTCACCTGCCCTGAACTATCAGGGAAAACATGTGTTTATTTTCCCTGATTTTACGGCCATTGTGGCAAAGAAGCGCGCTGCATTCAACGATTTGAAGAAAGAATTTCACTCCTGTCCAGGGATAAAGTTTGGACTTTTCTTCCCAGCATCACTGAGAATAACACTTCCCACTGGACAGCTTCGCACGTTTGACAGTCCTGATTTGGCTATGGACTTTGTGAAGAAAAACCTCAAGACCATGGAGGACCCACAGTCTGTTTAAACGACCTGTTTTGATGGACAAACTCTACATTTGATAATGAGCAGGTGTGGTTCTGTTCATTGGTGCAATAATTTGTTCACTTCTAGTTAAAATGTGGTGTGATATTTCGTTTACAATGTGTACATGCACGGGTGCTCGGACTTTTTTCTTTTGAGCAATATCCCAATCTTTTTTTTTTTTTGGTTGGTGTGTTTTTTATTTTATTATTACTATTATTGTGTTCTGGGTTAGTACATACATCAGTAAGCACTGAAGATATATACATTTAGACAATGCAAATATTATATACTTTTTTTGTTGCAGTTATTGTTGATGAGGATGGTAGGAGCTATTTCCTTGTTATTTTTTTTGTTTTACCATTTATTTATTTTACTGTTTTATTTATTTTTGATCTGATTCATTTTTGTTTTCCATTTAATTTTGATATTTTTAATTTATTTTTATAATTACATTATATAAATATATATTTTTTCCTTTTGATATTTATTTATATAGATATATATTTATACTTTTTTCTATCTTTACTTTGTTTCTTTTATTTTTTCATTTTATATGTTTATATATATATATATATATATATATATATATATATATATATATATATATATATATATATATATATATATATATATATATATATATATATCGTTTCTAAAACATTTTTTAAGTAATTGGTGACTTTTTTTATTCTCAAAGAATTTCACATTCCACCGGAGAGTTACACTGTTTAGGTGTTTTTTTTAAACTCTCCTTGCCTTAGTTAGGCCTGGTACTTTTTTCTCTGGGGTAGATGGGGTTGTGTGTCTGGTTTCAGAAGACACTTCTGCGATTTTTTTGTGGGGAGGTGGGTGGGGGGTTTAGGTATGTTCTGTCCCCTTTTTGTTTTTCTTTTTTTTGTTTTTTTTTCTCTTTTTTTTTCTTTTTACAGGTGTTCGGGAGATACTGCTTTGAGATCCCCTAAGAGATCTTAGTCATGGCACACAATTCATCACCAGCTTCAAGACAAGAGATTCGTTTTACCAGTTTTAATTGCAAAGGGCTCAACAACCCATTGAAACGTAGTAAGGTATTACACCACATTCAACAACTTGGGGCTCATGTCATCTACTTGCAAGAAACTCACTTGAAAAACATGGACCATTTGAAATTAAAAAAGAATTGGATAAGTAATATATATCATTCATCTTTTAATAGTAAATCTAGAGGTGTAGCAATTCTTATACGGAAATCTGTTCCATTTGTGTACTTACAATCAACTTCTGATCCGAATGGTAGATATATAATTATTACTTGTACCATCAACAATATTCCCTTAGCTTTAGTAAATGTTTATGCTCCAAATTATGATGACGTAGATTTTTTCAAACGACTAATTGCAAAACTGCCTAATATGTCAACTTATTGGCTAGTGATAGCAGGTGATTTTAACTGTTGGCAAGATGTGGACTTAGACCGGTCATCCAATAAAACTGCTAGCCTTTCCCGTGCAGCAAAAGTACTGAATTCCTTTACCAAAGAATTTTCCCTAACGGATCCTTGGCGCTTTTTAAAGCCTCAACAAAAAGTATATTCTTTTTTTTCGCCGGTTCACCATACTTTTACTCGCATTGACTTCTTTTTACTTGATAACAGACTTTTACCCTCTTTAATGGATTGCAAGTATGATGCAATTGTCCTGTCTGATCATGCTCCAGTTTCAATAAATATTCGATTTCAGTCACAATCCGGTCGCCCATTGTGGCGTCTTAACACTCAGCTTCTAGCTAATGAAAACTTTGTTTCTTTTATTGAGCGACAAATTGATTTCTTTTTATCAAATAATGAAAGCTCCAATGTCTCGGCCTCACTTTTGTGGGAGACATTAAAGGCCTATATTAGAGGTGAAATAATTTCATTTACAAAATACGAGCACAAACTTAGAAATGAGAAGCTTTTAAATTTGACTTGCCGTATTTCTCAATTGGACAGTCTGTATGCAACTTCTCCGAACCCAAATCTTTACAAGGAACGTATTATATTACAGTCAGAGTTTGATATTTTAATGACTAAACACACTACTGATCTGCTGCTTCGATCTGGTGCTCAGTTCTTTGAACACGGGGACAAAGCTGGAAAATTACTTGCTCACCAAATTCGTGAAGTTTCTGCGTCACATCAAATTTCTCAGATTGAGACGCTACATGGAAATACCTCTGATCCAACTGAAATTAACAATACCTTCAAAGATTTTTACTCTGCTTATACTCTTCAGACTGTACTGCATATATATCTGATTTTGATCATTTTTTTTGAAGGGTTGCAAGTTCCCTCTATTAATCAGATAGTTGCTGACAACTTGGAGAAACCTCTCACAATTGAAGAGCTAACGTTTGCCGTCAAATGTCTTCAAGGAGGCCGCTGCCCAGACCCAGATGGATTTCCTTGCGAATTTTATGATGTTTATGATGATAAGATGTTTTGGAATAAATTGTCTCCATTATTATTATCAGTTTACAAAGAATCTTTGGAATGTGGCCACTTGCCTGAAACTCTTAATCAAGCCGTTATTAGCCTTCTTGCTAAAAAAGGTAAAGATCCATTACAATGTGCTTCATATCGTCCCATTAGCTTACTAAACGTCAATTTCAAATTGTTGTCCAAAACATTGGTACAGTTCTCCCTTCCATAATCAGTTTAGATCAAACTGGCTTTGTTCAAAACAGACACTCCTTTTCTAATGTAAGACGCCTTTTTAATGTTATATACAACCCAAACCCTGTAGATTCCCAGGAAGCCCTCATTTCTTTAGATGCCGAGAAGGCTTTTGATAGGGTGGAATGGAGGTATTTATTTTATACAATTGAAAAATTTGGTTTTGGTCAAAATTTTTTATCCTGGATTCAACTACTGTACGCAGACCCACATGCTGCAGTCAGAACCAATAATATGCAATCTGCTTACAGTGCCTTGCGAAAGTATTCGGCCCCCTTGAACCTTTCAACATTTCGCCACATTTCAGGCTTCAAACATAAAGATATAAAAATTAATTTTTTTGTCAAGAATCAACAACAAGTGGGACACAATCGTGAAGTGGAACGAAATTTTATTGGATAATATAAACTTTGTAAACAAATAAAAAACTGAAAAGTGGGGCGTGCAATATTATTCGGCCCCTTTACTTTCAGTGCAGCAAACTCAGTCCAGAAGTTCAGTGAGGATCTTTGAATGATCCAATGTTGTCCTAAATGACTGATGATGATAAATAGAATGCACCTGTGTGTAATCAAGTCTCCGTATAAATGCACCTGCTCTTTGATAGTCTCAGGGTTCTGTTTAAAGCGCAGAGAGAACCATGAAGACAAAGGAACACACCAGGCAGGTCCGAGATACTGTTGTGGAGAAGTTTAAAGCCGGATTTGGATACAAAAAGATTTCCCAAGCTTTAAACATCTCAAGGAGCACTGTGCAAGCAATTATATTGAAATGGAAGGAGTATCAGACCACTGCAACTCTACCTAGACCTGGCCGTCCCTCCAAACTATCATCTCAAACAAGGAGAAGACTGATCAGAGATGCAGCCAAGTGGCCCATGATCACTCTGGATGAACTGCAGATAACTAACTGTAACTATAACTATTAACAAATAAAAAACTTTCAGTTTTTTATTTGTTAAAAAAGTTTAAATTATCCAACAAACTTCATTCCACTTCACGATTGTGTTCCACTTGTTGTTGATTCATGACAAAAAATTTAAATTTTATATCTTTATGTTTGAAGCCTGAAATATGGCGAAATGTTGAAAGGTTCAAGGGGGCCGAATACTTTCGCAAGGTACTGTACTTCCGTCTCTCTCGTTCCACGCGTCAAGGCTTTCCATTAAGTCCATTATCATTCGCCTTGGCAATAGAACCGCATGCCATTGCGCTCAGATCAAATTTAGAGATTAGTGGGATTATTAGGAATGGCATAGAAAACAAAGTTTCTTTGTATGCGGACGATTTACTTTTGTATTTAAGTAATTTGGATACTTCTATACCAGCAGCTTTAAATACGTTACAGGAATTTGGACAAATTTCCAATTATAAATTAAACTTAACTAAGAGTGAGTTCTTTCCTCTCAACGTTTCTGCCTGTAACCTTATTAATACTCTACCATTTAAAACTACTGATCACTTTATCTACCTAGGTATTCAGGTCACTCAAAGATTTGAGGATCTTTTTGGAGCCAATTTTTCTCCTTTACTGTTGCGTGTTAAAGAGGATTTGAATCACTGGTCGATTTTGGGGCTTTCTCTGGTTGCTCTGGCTGCCAAATTTTAAATTTTATTATTGGTCTTGTAATATTAGAATATTTAGATACTGGCTACATTCTGATGATCCAAATTCTCATGCTTGGCTTGTCATGGAAGCCAGGTCCACTAAACCATCTTCTCTTTTAGCTTTGCTTCATTCTCCTATCTCATCTTCAATAACTCCTTATACCTGCAATAAAATTGTTAAATCATCTTTGAGGATATGGCATCAGTTCAGGCGATTCATCGGCTTGCAATCTTTCTCTTTAAATGCTCCACTTTCCTCTAATCATGTTTTTCCACCTTCTCTTAATGACTCTGCCTTAAATTTTTGGTCAAGATTAGATATTAAAACGATTAGGGATATGTTTATTGATAATATTTTTGCCTCTTTTCAACAACTGGTTGAGAAATATGACCTGCCTCGTACTCATTTTTTTCGATATTTGCAAGTACGTAGTTTTGTACATAGTATTTTTTTCTACATTTCCTAATGTTCCGCAAGAATCACCCCATGACATTTTTTTGTTACCTATTCCTACTCTAAAGGGGGTGATTTCTATAACTTATAATCAAATTGCTTCTGTGCACTCACAGAGCACAGACAATTGAAGAAGATGTGCCAAGTCTGGGATCGCGTCTTAAATTCAGACAGAAGACATGTTTTATTGTCGATGGCAGAGACAGTACGAACACAGATACAAGAGAATGTGAATGAGAAAGTGTATT